TGGAGGGGGCAGGGTTCGCTGCTGAGGGGGGGTGTGGAGGGGGCAGGGTTCGCTGCTGAGGGGGGGGGTGTGTGGAATAGCTCTTCTATTCCATAATTCCCCCCCATCATCATGCACGGCCTGCTCTGGAGTCCATGGGCCGTGTGTTACCCCCATGACAGCACCCAGGACACCTAGTGGCCGGTCGTACCCCAATGTTCACGTGGGGGCTACAAGGAAGAAACTATAAAGGCCGATACATAGTGTCCTACACATTGTAGCGCGGGAGTCCTGGACGCCATCTTTGTTCTGCCTCTTCCATCAGGTGAGCTCCTGGACAAAGACTCCGACATCAGCGACTCTCAGAGCCCCGCCACAGACGCTCCCGGGGACACCGACCAGGAGATGAGGACGGGGCCACACTGGGCCACACTGAGATGGAAGGCGGGGTCACGTCTCAGACTTAACAAAGAACCAAAGAGACGAAGAGATGTGATGTTTCTTTTCTCATCGCAGGAAGGAGCGCTGATCATAGAAGTGACCTCGTGCACAGTGTTATTATTATGGGATAGGAATGAGCAATCGCTTCAATTGTATCATTAGTATTGCATGACGCATCTACATACTTACTACATACTTACTACATACTTACTACATACTTACTACACATTGATATAACATATCTGCAAATAAGAGCGGAGACCATTAACGTATAGACAGTAAGCTGGCTCACGATTGGTTCGCGGTGACGTGTGACGATGAGACTGTCGCAGGTCGGCTCAGTAGATCGGGAGCACGTACCGGCGTTCGCTCACTTCTCGATCCTGTCACTGCAGAGAGCCGTGACTGTCACTCACCGCTCCCTGCAGGGATTCTCCCCGGGGGAGGGGGCGGGTACAGCTGGCTCCGCCTCTAGATAGGCGGAGCCAGCTGTCAGTCACGCAGCTTGGCGCATCCAGACAGCAATGTCGGGATCCGCTTCAGCTGCGGCGTCTTAGGCCCCATTCACACCGAGCGACATGAAAATCGCGCGACTTTGAGCGACGTGTCAAGCGACAACGCGCGACTTCTTCCTATTGGGCTGCATGCAATCAGGAGCAATATCGCTCAAAATCGCTCTAAGTCCCCGTTCACATATAGCGAATTGTCGCGCGATTTCCGCCGCGATATCGCGCATTTTTGCCGTGCGATATTGCGAGAAGTCGCCGGCCAATGCTATTCAATGGAGCTGTCTTAGCTCCATGTCGCGGTCGCAAGTCGCTTCTACCGGACCCTTTTTTCGGCGGATTTTGCTTTTTTTCTATGGAGCCCGACGGAGAAGGTCGCGCTACCGTCGCTGGAACGTCGCCCCGAAAGTCGCGCTATCCCGGCCGCTGCAAAGGTAAGTCGCTACATGTGAACGGGGTCTAAAAAAGGGTCACGTAGGAGCGACGGGATGTGAACGGCTCCATTGAAATGTATTGGTGAAGCTACATAGCGCGATAAATCGCTCCGGCGTCTCTATACCGCGAGCTGTAGCTCCCTATATACTGAGCCTAGGGTGACGGGAGGACGCTAGTTTGTGTCCCCGAGGAGGACTATGGGGGGGAAAAACTGACCCCTC